GTTTTTTCCCTCTCCTGTAGTGTGTTCTAAAGGTGTTTATACATGTAAATGGTCTACAAAGACTACAATCCCTGTGTTCCCTCCAGAGGGAGTTTCTCTCCCACACACTCCTCCCTGCCTGAAACGCCTCAATTGGAGTCCTTTGTTTACTTCAGTATCATAATGACATCACTATGTAACTCACGTTCTATTGGCTCCAATACATTGTACGTGATAGGCTAAGGGGCGGGACATCTCTAAGCGGTTTACAAATCACAAAAGAACCGACCAGCTAACCGATCAGAGCAGACTGGGCTCTGGTTTCAGACAGAGGGTGAAAAGAGGTGCCGCAGCACAGGCAGTATGAGAAGAATAAAGAGCTTTTTGAACATTAAAGCATGTCACAGGAGAGCCACTACAATTGTCCTCTTATAACTTTCCCTGCTAATACAATTTCAGCTGGCAGAACACATTTGATAACAACACACACACACACACATACACACACACACACACACACACACACACACACACACACACACACTATGTCAATATCCCTTTTTGCATTTTGAAGGCCCTGTCACTATGCATCACCTCACATGATTGTCACACCGAGAGTAAGGCAAACACTGGAAATATAAGTGATCTATATGAGAAATAAGTCCTGAAATGTACCCAGCCCCACCACTAACACCCCCCACCCCATCAGCCCTCCACAGTATTCACAGTCACACCATACCGTGTCCTCATTTCTGTGTTTGTCTATCCTTTTGGTATCCTTTGGAGTTTTATAAATCTTGTTATTTTGTTTGCTATTTAAAATAAATCTGTTTATAATTTAGCACCCTGAAGAGTTTGACCCAGTCGATAATTGGAATCAACCTCACACTGATGATGTCCATATATGTATGTATAATATCTACTTCATTTTGTGATTTAAAGATGTTAGGAAAGGATTATGTTGAATAATGCATGAGCCACCATTAGAGAATTACATGGAAGCTCTTTGAAGGATAATCCCGGTTTATTATAACAATGGTCTAATTTTTGCAGTTAGACATCATTTCCATTCAAACATTAGAAATCAGTGAAACCTGATTTCTTTGTTGGCCGCAGAGTTAGTGAAGGAGTCGAATATATTTGTCACAATGGGATTTAATGTCCTGACCCTAACCCTCACTTCAGATAAAGATGAAGATGACATAAGGCTGTGTGTCCACAGAGTGTGTTTACTGACAGAAAGGTGCCAGGGAACGCTTCAGAGCAGCATCTTATCTTCCTATTGCAACAATTTATTAATCACCCCCTTGTATGACAGACTAGTATCGCCCCATTGTCTTTCATCATATTTTTGTGCTACTATCTATTTGTTTGACATTGTTAAGTCACCATAGTCACCAACCAAAGGAAGTCATTCCAAAAGCGTTAAAGCGGGAATGATGATATCTGTTGTAAACAACGTGTACGGCAAATTCAAGACTGAAAACTCAGAAAGAGATGCTCTGTGCTCACACGCCTTAAGGGACCAACCAAGATTGAATCCTTCAAAGTAAAATGATCTCTCTGGAGTTTTTGTAACAAATAAATAAACGGTTGTTTAGCTTTGAAGACAGTTAAAGGACGTCAAGGGTACGACTGTTTTTTTACACAGTATACAGACCCACTTTGAACTGGACCCACGACAGTGTTCAGTGTGTATTTTCACAGTGCATTGAGAGAGTATTATTGATATTTTAGCAGTGCTCACTTTCATTTTGACCCCGAAATAAAGTGTTTTAAATCATTTGGAAATAGATTGCCTGTTTCGGCATGTTTAAAGTAGTAACCGTGTTCCCAGATATCTACAACTAGAATATAAAAATATATACAGCGCAGAAGTATGCAAGTAGCCTGACTTTTAGCAGGGAATTTTATCCTGACATTTCATCATTTGGTGTCCGGATTTTTCATTTATTGTGTGCAAGATAGAGTCGGCTCATTTGAGTTCTGATATTGAACAAACCATAACAGATGGAATACGTACATTTGCCCCACAATCAATATATGTGGGAATTCTGAGTAAGTTGAGACAATCAAATCAAACTCTAAACCATCAAAGGAAACGCCAGAAAACCATGCAAACTGCACACAGAAAGCCCACCAACTATAAACATTAGAGCCACTGCAAACCGGAATCATCCTTTTGATTTTATGTGCACACAGAATCTTGCTGTTGTATCAAGAACAACGTTCAAAGAACAGAGGTGTCCTTCATGTCCCATTTGGTTTGTTTGGCAGAAATTGATATCGAACAATTCGAGACTTTCCCCACATTGAGAACATTTAAAGAAGTGAGGACATTTCCTAAACTTTAGCGGTACAGCGGTGCCCTCTCGTGCGCTCAGCACAGCCACAAATGAAGGTCTAGGTTCAGAGACAGAAGTAGCTGATAAAAGTTTTTAAAAGGTATTAATGAAGAGTAGGTATGACATTGAAAAACATATGTATCCAGCCGTTGACAGGCACTGACTGGTTTGTACACTGAAAAAACTGAAACATTGTCTTTAATTAAATGTATTGAGTCAACACATTTCACATAACTGAACTAGGTTAGTTTAAAAGCAATACTATTAAGTTTAAATAGCAAAAATACGAGGTTCAACTTAATATTATTGCTTTCAACTAACCTAATAGAGTTATGTGAAGTCTATTGACATAATAGATTTCATTAAAGTCAATGCTTCAATTTCTACAGTGTACAGTCATTGTGTGTCGTCATACTGTTAATATAACAATTGTATTTCACCCATACATTTGCTGTCTGTCCATCATTATCTTTTTTATTTCTTTTACAAAAAAAAATTGCACTGATGCTGTTTTATTTTCAAAGTATTTAGTGTCCTGTGTGAACCCCCCCTTTAATGACGGGAGGAGAGTTGACCCCCAGCACCCCCCCGTGGACTCGCTGTGCAGCAGAAGACAAGAGAGCTAGGCACCTAGTTTATCACAACAGAGCTGTTATTTGTATGTGTATTTGTTGTTGTTTTGATGATGATGATGTTATTGTGACCCACAAAGCTGTATTGTAACACATTGTTGTGGTGCTCAAGTGGTAAATAAATTATTTAAGTGTCAAGGGAATTTTGTGTTCTGTGTGTACTTTCTGAAGCGGATGTGTGTGTAGTAAACTTCTGGGTCTGCTTGCACCAGAACATGATGACCCAACTGTCCAAAGAACAGATTCAGAGTCAATAACAGAATGATTTCTAAGGATATGTCATATTCTTTACAATATAAAGAGGTTGTATTGGATGACTGGTTTTCTTGAAATTAAACACTTTTAAAAAACGTTTTTTACAGATTCAGAACAATTAAAACTTAATGATTTAACTGAATTTCAGATTTCTTTAGTTCAGCAAAAAAAGATTTTTCCAGAATATATACAAAAATGTTTTTGCTTTAAAGCCGTGGTTCTCAACTGGTCAGGCCTCTTGACCCACTTTTTCCAATGTCAATAAATCGCGACCCGAAATTTTGAACCACTCAAATCTATTCAACAAAAAATTGTGATGTAATATATACACTTTTCAGCATACAATATTAATTAAAGTGAAGTACAGTGCATATATCCCTTCACATAACTAAAGTACGCTTTTAAAAAAGGTTCAATGAGATGATGGAATCAAAGCTGAACTGTATTATAAAAAGGCACACACGCTGAGTTATTCTCCGTGGGACTTCCGGCAACAATCTTGATGCTGATTGTCCAGAAGACTCGAAAAAACATCAGCAAAGAAGTTTTATTGAGAAAATGATCACCACGTGACAGAAGTTTTCAAAACCGTTTATGGTCTCCGGTACTTCCAGTACACAGCGTTAGAAAATCGGGCCTTAAAAATAAAAGTTTGACTTTTTTCCACAAAAAAAAGAATTTCAATTTATTTTTTCTTTACTCACACATGTAGTCAGGATTGAAATGTGGAATTATTTACCAAACAATTCAAAAGGCTGTATGAACATCCTGAGGTTTAAGAAAATGTATTGAAATTCTTTTTTAAAAGACGGTAACAAGATGTCCGGTAACCAGTTTTGCTGATGGAAGATTGTTGTGTTGAGTATTTTCTTTCTTTTTATCAGGTTACTTGTTTTAGTTTTTTTTCAATTTACTGAAAAAGTATGTTAATATAGGCAGCGGTGATTGACTGACCATCTATTTTTAAATAAGAGGTAACATAAGACTTTTTTCTCCCTGTTCCTTTCCATCATGGGCTGTATAAACTGATCAAAGTTCACTGAAGAAACTGAAACATTGACTTTAATTAAATGTATTATGTCAACAAGTTGAAAGGAACAATATTACATTTTAATAAAAAATAGTAGGTTCAACTTAATATTATTGGTTTCAACTAACCTAATACAGTTATATGAAATGAGTTGACATAATACATTTAATTAAAGTCTTCTGTATACATGCATATGTTTACCATGAGTGTCACAAAATAAAAAAGAAATTGTAAGCTCCTCTCTCCAGTCTATCCTGAAATGATACAATTATTAGTTTTAGAGGACACTGATGGGACGGATTTATCCTGTACTAACATGACGCTGACAGGACAAATGAGTGATTGGTGGGGTGAAGAGCAATGGGAGTGAGATCAGCACAAAGAGTGTGGGAGGTTTTTGTCAGCTGTGGAATGAGGCTCCATTAGAAAGAGGTCTGCACCTGTGATAAATAAAGAGCGTGTGGTCCCGGCTCTGTGTGGTTCCTGTCCAGGGGAGAAGACCCGAGGAGAGCCTGGCACCGGCTCCCAGGCCTAATCTGGACCTCCACGAATCATATATATAAACTTGAAACTATTGCAGTGTGTCATCATCACACACACCCCTGCTGATGTGGGTTAGAGAACAGTTTGATGATTAATCAGCCTTTTACCAGTCAATATGTTTTAAATCTGATACTGTAAACAATGATTTGGGTTTGTCAGAGTGCTGAAGGAATTTGTACATGAAGCATAAAATTCAGAAATCAGAGTTGATCAGGCTTAGAGAGAAGTGTTTTACTTGAAATGGGATTACGTAATCAGGATACACAAAGAAGGTAACAGTATTCCCTTATAGTCACATTGTAAAACGTAGCTAGTAGCAACACGTGTCAATTAAATGTAGTTGAGTAAGAATTACCATATTTCCCTTGGAATTGCAGTGAAGTAGAATTATAAAATAGCAGATAATGGAAATACCCAAGTACATGTACCTCAAAATTCTACTTCTGGGATACTAGCATGATTACAATATTTGAATACTTTTTAAAACACAGAATGATACATTAAAAGGCACATGCTTACACATTAAAATTGTTTTTCAATGCATTAGTTGGACACCTGATTTAACAAAAAATGCTGTTTACGCTTTTAATTCATGTACTAAACAAAAAGTTCTGTAAACTATACTACACTAAACAAAATGTCTGGAGGAGAATACAGTCCATTTAATCTGGAATCATTAGGGCTGTATATTTCCTGTACTTGGCTTACGTTTTCTTCTTTGACACTATAGGTAGACACCTGATCTGTAAACATATTGTGGAAGTTCTTCATACTGGTTTAAACTTAAAAAAACAAACACATATTTCGTTTTTTATGAAAGGACTATTTTTGTAACATTTGAGAGTGAGTGAGAGCTGTGAACAATGGATCATTAGTAATAAAATGGTGAAACAGGAGCTTCACAGTAGCGCTGCTCACTGCTCAGCGACACGAGGGGACTGGACTGTGTGAGCGGTTTTCCTCCCCTGGATCCTCCTTCAGTTAACTGCAGGAAACAATAAAGCGTTTTACATTAAATGCTTTGAGGAAGACTTTGATCTGAAGCACAAACAACTCCATAACCCACTGAGGTAAGGCATGACATTTTTCACTTATGTTAGGGTTTAATAAAACACAGTGACAGGACATAGGCAACTCCCGCAAACATTCACACCATGCAATAAAAAAGAACAAACATATTAAAGAGGTACATTCAAAGTAAGGCCATAACAAGTATAGTAATTGAGACTTTTGTACTTAAATTACTTAGATCAGTCTTTGAGAGTAACAGAAGATAATGTAACATTGTCACATTATTAGGATATGATAATGATGAATCTGAAACCGTACAGAAAAAGAGGCTTCATCAGATTACATAAAGCAAAATGGGAATAACTAGCAGGATAACAATCTTAACATACATTTTTAAATAAAGAACAATAAACTACCATTATATGGCAGTATGCCCTGCCCTCTAATGTGAGAGTTTTCGCTATAGTTAAAAATATCACATTGAATGTGTATAGACCCTCCAGAAAAACGCGGGCAAAAATGCTTGATTATGCGATTAAACATGCGGGGTTTTTATGTGATTTTATGCGGTGAAATTGCGGGAAGTTGCGAAATATGCGGAAAGTTGCGAAATATGCTAAATACGCGGGAAAAAAGAATAAAAACATTTTTAAATATTGGGCTGTCTTATTTATTCTCTCTCACACACAATCTGCCACTAACGTTAAACCCCTTTACTATTCAATTAAACAAATTCAATGTTTATTTATTGTAAAAGCAATTGGGCTATTTTAATCTCACACACACCCACCCCCCCACACACATACTTCTCCGCCTCATTCTGTTTTCATTTACTCGTTCGTTATCTGACCAGCTTCAATCTTGTAGGCCAGGGGTTCCCAAACTTTTCCATGCCAAGGCCCCCCAAAAATCATTAGCTTCTGGCCGGGGACCCCCTTTGCAAACCCACCAACAATGCTACAAAATATGTCACACATCAACTTTAAGAACGTTTTTGTTACTTTTATTCTCTATTCAATACTGTAATTATTACATTTGTTTAGCATGAGAATAATATTAACAATATGTTTTGTTCCACCACAATGTTTTTCTTATTATAGACACTATGTTGCAATACATTTTACCCTACAGAAAATATATTTACATATGCAAGAGTTTTTTTTTTGTCTTTCTTGCATTATGTCTTCAAAAGTTTTCAGTCAAAAAAGAAAAAAAATCTATTAAACTGACTTGGTTCTGTAAGTTCAACACTATATTCCCACTGAATAACAAACCTTTCAACAAACTGTTGATGATACAAAAACAGAAAAAAGAAACCAAACCTCTCTTTTGTGTGTGTGTGTGTGTGTGTGTGTGTGTGTGTGTGTGTGTGTGTGTGTGTGTGTGTGTGTGTGTGTGTGTGTGTGTGTGTGTGTTGGAAGTGACAGACAGTGATCACACTAGTGGGAGGGATGGGCTTGGTGGCTCCTACACAGTCTGTCAAGCCTGGGCTTAAATGTCTGTCAGTGCCATACGCATGTCATTGTCACATGTAGAACGTGCTCTATGTTTAGTTTTGAGTACTTTAAAGTTGAGAAAAGGCCAGACTCACACAAGTAAGATTGTATGCAAAAGGGAGAAGGCATTTCAGTGCCCCGTCAGCCAAGGGGGATAGTCCTTTCTTAACATGTGCCAGTAGTTAGACAGGGGAAGCAGCCTCAAAGTTTAGTTTTTTAAATTCCCTGAAGGTTTGTCCATCTAATCAGCTCCTCCTGTGACTTTATTGTCCAAACTAGAACCGACACCGGGGGAAAAGGGTTCCTAAAGCCCAGTTTAAATGTGTGTTTTCAAGGTCAGGGGAAATAGTCTTTTAAAATATCCTTGGAGGTGCTCCAGTGGGACTGGATCAATTGGAGGAGATGGAGCCCAAAATCATCACATGACAGCAGCTCCTGGTGAAGTAGTGGGAAACATCTCTGTGATCCCTCCTGGAGCTTGTTTGACCACAGCATAATTTCTTTTGGAAGCACGCACTTTTGTCTTGCCACCTGCAGTATGTAACCGTGTCACGTCCCTTGCATGCTTTGGTTTCAGTACATTTAGATGGCAGAAAAAATGTCCTGACATGTATGCCAAAGTTTGCGGGATCCAGGGTTGCATCAGTGAACCGCCTCTGCCAGCTGATGCTTTCGCAAGAGGAGAGAACTCTCCAACCTCCCTCGCCAGCTCATAGACACGGGTTACAAACTGCGGCCCCGTGACCAGCCAGCGCACGTTTGAGTGAAGCAGCAGCCCCTCAAAACGGGCGCCCCATTCTCATTACAAAGCAGGGTAAAACAGTCTGTGTGTTCACAGGGGCGGGCTTATAAAATTCACCACTTGTACAACCTCCTGTAGTACCTGATTCAACTCGTTATCCCATCCTTTTTGCTAGCAAGTGCCTCACAGGTGGAGCATGCAGTGGTGTGGCGGACTAACATGCGGGCTTTCTGCTTTAATGAGAGCGGTCACTCCACCTGTCCTTGCCGGTGAATTGCCGCGGCTCCGTCCGAAACACACCCCCACACAGCGGGCCCCAGTTCCAATCCGTTAGACTCGATTGTAAGTCGTCCCAAAACTTGAAAAATATTCTTTCCCCAGTGGTTCTTCTTTTCAAAAAGGTGCTTTACAAAACAGTATTTTCTCGACAAATCTCCTCTCCTGGGAAACTTAAATCGAATGTTACACAAGCAGGTTGGCCTCATTCGATATGTCTGTGCTCTCATCTAGTTGAAGAGCGAAGATACTCGCTGGCTCTCACCGCTCCAAAAGCTGCGCAGGATACGTTCCTGCGCCAGTCACCAAATCGTCGGCTGACGGTGTTGTCCGAGAGTGGGACCAGCGGTCAATTTTTTGCAGCATCCTCGCCAAGCAATTCCAGGGACAATGTCTTTGGTAGCTGGTAAAAGCAAATCCTCTCCGATTGTGTGCAGGTTTTTTTTGCACGAGCAATGTGGTATGAAGCTAAAATGATGCCTTCAGGCACGCTTCATGGGAACGGTGCTTGCTGGTGAATGCAGCAGATTGCCGTGGCAAATGCTCCCTCTTTACTCCTTGAAGAGTCTTGCCGTTTTTTTCGGCCTCTGCCGGATGTTTTTGCCATCAAGTGACGCTGAAGTTTCGACGGTTTTAAACACTCGTGTTGGGGGTCTCCAGACAGAGCACACACTTTGGCAATCATGGCCATTTTTCTGGTATGGCTGTAAAGCCATACTTAATGTACGCTGCCACAGATACCTCTGTTTTAATTGGCAGGAGTTCTGTAGTTTTTTTGC